AATTTTGATAATTGGGAAATATATAAATAATCTTATAAGGAGTTTAAGAAAGCAATATGTGAGGAAAATATTTTAATTTTTAATAATTTACATAATAGATTAAATACTAAAGAGAGCAAAAGATATATGAATAAGTTAGCCAAATAAAGGGATATGAGTAATAAGGATTTAAGTGAAGTATAATAAAGATAAAAAATTATTTTTATTAGAAAAGGATATTAATTATTTTTATTAGAAGAGGATATTCAATAAAAGGTGGATGAGAAATTTTGCTAGACTTTTCAATAAAGATTATGAGAATGCGATTGAATTTAGTGACCTTACCAACATATTTGAAATAACGATTTTTGTTTTTATGTGTGTATTAGTAAAATCGAAGTTAAAGAAGCTTTAAATAAAATGAAGTATGGAAAAGCTATTGGACCTGATGATATTCCAATACATGTGTGGAAATACTTAGGAGATGAAGAAATCTCTTGGATTACTAAACTTTTTAATATTGTTTTAAAGACTAAAATATGCTAGATGAGTGGAGAATGAGCATGCATATTCCTATTTTAAGAATAAATGTGATGCACATGATTATGCAAATTATAGAGGAATTAAGTTAATATACCATAAATTAAACTATGGAAGAGAGTTATGAAGCATATGTTGAGGTGTGATACTAATATTTCTCAAAATCAATTTGGATTAATTCCGGGTAGGTTAACTATGGAAGTTGTATATTTATTGGGAGGTTTGATAGAGAAGTATAAAGAGAATAAGTAGGATCTACATATGATATTTATTGATTTAGAGAAAGAATATGATAAAGTTTCAAGAGAAGTGCTATGGAGAGTTCCAAAAAAGAAAGGGGTTAATAATGCTTATATTGAAGTCATTAAGGATATGTATGCATGAGCTATTACTTGTGTTTAAACAAAAGGTGGTTTGACCAATTATTTTTTTAATTTAGTTGGATTACATCAATGATCAACTTTAAGCCCATATCTTTTTGCTTTAGTAATGGATGTTCTCATATACCTTTATAAGAGTTTGTACCTTGGTGTATGCTTTTTGTTGATGATATTCTCCTTGTTGGTAAGACTAGAGAGGGAGTTGAAGGTAAACTTGAATTATAAAAGCCAACTTTAGAGTCTAAATTCTTTCATTTGAGTAGCTCTATAACTAAATATATGGAGTGTAATTTTAGTAATAATATATCTAGTAGGGGCATTGTGACTTTGGGCGATCAAGTTATTAATAAGAGTACACATTTTAGATATCTTGGTTCTATTGTTCAGAGTGATGGCAAAATAGATGGGGACATTATTAGTAAAATTCAAGTTTGATGGTTAAAATGGAGGAATTCACTAGGCTTGTTGTGTGATAGAAAAGTTTATCTCAAACTTAAGAAAAAATTCTATAAGATGGTGGTGAGACATGCAATGCTTTTATGGCGCCAAATATTTTCCATTAAAAGAGAAGTATAATATAAAGTTAAATGTTGCAGAGATGAGGATGCTCATGTAGATGAGTGGCTTTAATCATAGAGACATGATACAAAATGAGCATATACGAAGAGGTTGGAGTAGATCTAGTGGATGATAAGATTATAGAAGTTGCCTTAGAGGGTTTGGTCACATAAAATGGCGGCCTTTTGATCACTTGATTAGGAAAGTAGATGTATTGGATTTGACTTATGCTAAGAAATGTAGAAGAAGAACTAAAAAGATTTGGTTGAAAAATATTAGAAATGACTTTTTTTTATTAGGTTTAAATGAGAATTTGACTCTTGATAGAAAACAATGGAGAAAAAAGATTCATGTAGCCAACCCCATATAGTGGGATAAATGCTTAATATTGTTGTTGTTGTATGACAGTTTTAAATGCCATAACACATTTATTTAATTATTTTGTATAAATGTTTATTATGTCAAAAAATAATGAAGAAATAATAAATAAAGTATATATATTATTGCTGGCTAGAATATACACAACGATAGAGTTATAATCTTATGTTTTAGCATTTTATGAATATTCATCTCACACATAGATAACACAAGATTTTTTACATGAAAAATCCTGGAAAGGGGAAAAATCATGAGACCTAGTCCAGTTAAAAATGATTACACTAGAATTTGAGTAGATTACAGTGGGCTGACTCGCCCTTAAGGGCGATTAGATTACAAATGTCAACCATATGGTTGAAATCTAGTGACAAACAAGAATGAAAATCTGGTGTAACTTGGTGGTCCATCAGAAGTCCAAAGTTATTTGGAAATTCAAGGGTCAGTTGGTGGTTTGATGGTGGTTTGGCAGAAATTTTGTGTCAGGCGGTGATCCAATAGAATTTTGGTGTCGAGAAGTGGTCTGATAGAACTCCAGCGTCGGGTAGTGTTATGGCAGAACTCTGGGAATCAAGTGGTGGTCCGACGGAACTTTGGGAATCAGGTGGTGGTCCGACAAAACACTGGCGTCATGTTGTAGTCCTGTGGAGCTCATGGCATCAGGTGGTGGTCCGACGGAACTCAGGGCGTCGAGGGCGGTCTTATGGATCTCAGGGCATTAGGTGGTGGTCTGACGGAGCTCAGGGCGTCAGCCGTCAAGTGGTGGTCCTGTGGAGCTCAGGGTGCCAGGTGGTGGTCCGGCAGAGCTCATGGCTTCAGGTGGTGGTCTGACGGTGGTCGAGGAGGCAAATAGGAAAGAGTGATTTTCGATCTCTCTCCTCTCCTTAGGCTTAGTGGTTCCTTTCCAATAGTAAGGAGGGTCTATTTATAGATTTTCTAGAGTTGCATGTTATGTAAATAGGAGAAAAATCAAGGGTAAATGGTGAGTGGTTTAGATGGACAACATATATATAATCCCTTGATCGTGGATCGTTCGCTATACATTTGAAGGTCTTAATGATGTCAAAATTCCGTGATCTTAAGCTCGTTGGATTTGTTTCACCGACCTTCTCAATTTGACTATAAGCATGTCACGTTTGGTAATCCAATTTGTGGTTCGAAACTTTCAACAGTGCTTCAGGCATGAACATAAGTGACTCATTTGGGCTCGGATTGAGTTGAATTTGGTGTTGTTGGGTTTATATTTTTGAGATGTTCAGTTCGACTGTAAGTTTATTGAAATCGGAGTTCAGATGGTCCCAATTTTAATTTCGAAAGTTTCCAACCTGATTTTGGCTCGAGATTCGTGCCTGAGCATGATGATTTTTTGATGATGTATCATATATATATATATATTAAATAACATGTTAAAAAATGAAATAAACAAAATAACAAATAATTTTTAAATAGAGTATAAATGAAATGGGAAAATGGTGCATGCATGCATGCACCCTTTTCGTTCGGCTGTCAGTTCCTAGCTCGTTAATTTGAGACTCCGGGTCAGATTGTGACAACTTATGAACATGTGCCTTAAAATGAAACATGCATAATGATTGTAAAAAAAAAAAAAAAAAAAAAAAACGAATAACTATCTTCCTATCAAATATTTATTATCAACACTAACGAAAAATAAAAACTTGAAACATACAACAAATGCCACAAACTAGATTGTTAACATACTCATTAATTTTTTAAATTTCTCATGAAAACCTTATTATTATAGAGTGTTATGACAGACAAATTTTATTTTTAAAATTTTTACAATGTGCTAATTTGAGATGCTATTTGTAACTATCAATACATTATTAAAAAAAATTATCTTCCTAAATGGATTAAGCTCCCAAATTTCCTCGTTATAAATATTTTTTACATAGAATAAATCTTAAACTACAATGTCTACTTAGCTAATAAGAATTAATTTTTTTTTTTTAATAATTTTCTAAAGTCTCATATCATTAATTACTCTCCTTTTCATTTATTAAATATTACATATGACATCAATTTTAAATAATTTATTCTTTAAATAGAAAAAAATAATACTTATTTTTTATTTTATTTTATTTTATTTCAATTTGATGCAGTCATAACTCTTAAATATGCTTCACTTGTATTATTTATTAATATACTATTCCCACTTTAATATTATAATTTATAACGCCAAATTCAACGGTCAAGATAATTAAAAAAATAGAAAAAAAAGGTGAAGTACCGACTGCCCAACATAAGTCCTCTTCGACAACGCTGGACAGTATTAATTATTGCGAATATTTGAATTATACTCCGAATTAAATTTTTCCTAAATGGAGAAGCCGTTAAGGTTCAAAATAACTATGAGAAATTATATTATTATTAAATTTAATTAGGAATAAACATGATTACGACTAATTAATATATCAAAAGAGTGCACAAATCTCAACACAAAATCAACGATATTTGAGTTTGTTATGACGAGTTTGCATCAACATGATTTATATTCACTCATGCCATTGAAATTAAGTCACGTGGCTGGTACTTATGTTGTGTATTATATATACCCTATGTACATGCCACATGACTTATTCATATTGGAGTTCAGATGTGAATTACGTTCGAACTTTGTACGTAGTAATTTCTTCATGGCAAATAGACAGACTCATATGATATGAAAAATTTGAAATTTTTTTATTAAAAATTTAAAATGCATTCAAGTCATAAAAATTATTTAAAATTAGTATACTTTATGATATAATTTGCAACACTAATTTAAAATTTTATTTGTGATAGTTTTTTAACAATTTAGTTTTTCAAATTTTAATCACAATTATTTATTTTTTTATGGTTTTGAAGAAAATTTGTACTATAAAGATGTTTTTTTACAACAGTTTTAAAAAATTTATTTTATCTATATTAATTTTACAAAACATTAAAATATTTTTTTCAAAATAAAAATGGATTTTTTAATCTTAAAAAATTTAAATTTATTTAAAATATTATAAAATTAATCTGAAAATAAATTTAATAACTTTGTAAACCTCAAATTTTGGATCAGCGTAATCTGCGAATTTTTTTTTTCTAAACATGCAATTTCCAAGGAGCCACTTTTTCCGGTTCCACCTACCCAACTTCCGTCACTTCCGTGATATATTTTCACTTCCCGAGCTTCACCACGCAATCTGCTATCTTTGTATTTGTAGACTTACTTTTTTTCGCTTTTTCATTTTCTCCTTCTTCGGCTCCGTGTTTCTCTCTCTTCCCTGCTCGCCTCGGTGCGATCATCTCCAAAGACCAATTCTTTCAAGTTACAACGTCTTCATCTTCGTCTTCAGCTTCTTGTTAGTTGACTTACAGAGATTTCTCAATTTCTAGGCGCTGTCGCTCTTTCATAGATTCCAAGCTGACGACATAGTCTTCTCTGAAGTTCCTTTATTCGCGGTTGTTCGGCGACTTCTTTGGCGCCTACCCGTTCCCATTTTGTCTTTCATAGGGTGGATACAGAGAAGGAAGTTTTTGAGGGTTTGGATGGAGAAAGGTCAAAGCTTCGGCTCCGCTGACGAGTTACAGGAGAGGAGGAAGAAGAAGGGAGCGCTCCCCCTTGCGGTCTTCCTTTCTTTCAATGACAGAGATGTGAATCCCCAATGCCCCAACGCACGCAATCCCTACCATAAATGCGGCTGGCACTGCCTCGATAAAATTCCAGGCGGGAACATGCTATTGGATTTAGAAAGATCAGGTGTTTACATACTCTTTCTCTACTGATGCCTTCTCTGTGTGCTTGACTTCTGGTTCGTTTGATTCTTGTCTGGGTTTTAATGCTTTATTGTTTCTTTGATTTGATAGGGGGGAGCAGTTCGGAGTGGGAAAAGATGTCGGAGAAAAAGGTTTTGAATCCCAGTTGCCCCAACGCTTCCAATCCCTACCACAAGTGCGCTGATTACTGCTTTGCGAAAATTACGGAGAAGCCTCAGGACGCGGTTAAAGAGCCAGGTTCAATTCCTTTATCTTTCTGCTTCTCTCCTTGGAGTTCGCCTCATATATGACACCGCCAGCAGCTAAAATCTCATGTTTCTGCTTGGTGACAAATATTGATTAAGGAATTACAAATTGAATATTATAGATTCTGGTTGCAGTTTTGAATTAAAACTGATATTAGATGATTTCAGGTTAGATTCCCGGAAGCCTCATGGATCATAATTCAGAACAAATCCGCAACATTTTACCACTAAAATATTTGATAATTAGTGTTTGTTTGGTTGTCATACTTTAGAATGGTAGGTGTCTGGATCATGTTTTCCAGTTTCACTTGAATTTGATCTTAATTTAGTTGTTTATTTTGCTTAGCTAGACTATCTCATTGAACAATTGAAATCTTAGGAAGCATTCTAAGTAACATCAGAAGGCTCCTTCTTTGGATACTGTATAAAGATTTCAAACTTTCTTCTTAATAGTGGTACTGGTGTGTCCAGTTCAAATCAAGGGTGAGAAGATGGTGCAGAGAAAGGGTTTGCCCCCAATCTCTTTGAAAGCTCTTGATTTTTTTTCCATAAGCATGCCGAATATTGCCTTCGTCGAAATAATACTAGTTATCAAGGTTAGTCAAATGAGTCAACTTCATTCACCTTCAAATTTTTCTGCACTTCTTTTTTGTTCCCTTTAAGGCTCATGCAATGCTGGCCAACTGGATATCTTTTCCATATATTCTTGGAAAAAAAAAAAAGAGATAAGGCAGTCAATTACAATCTCTTATGACCACCAATATAAAGATTACGAGTCTTGATTATTTTCCCCCTAAGTTTAGGCCTGTAGGAGAAATACCAATATATTTTTGCTTAATTTCATTTTGTAATGTAAAGTAATTTTTTTGTTTGTCAAGTTTTGGATTAAAATGTATGTTGGATAGATAAATGGGCCACCTTGCCTTGAGATTTGTGTAAGACCGCCATGCCTTTGGTTGAGTTTATTTTGATCAAAGAGGGTCAAGTTATGTCGACTTTGGGATTCATGTTGGACGGTCTTGCCTTTGATGATGATGGACATATTGATAGAGGCCCTAGGCCTTGTGTATTCAAAAAATTTATGCCTTGGTTCTGCTAAGACCATTTAGGTGGTCCTAGATCAAATTTTCATGAAACAAATTAGATTTAAGATAAAATACTACTAAAAAATTGAGCCTCATTTAAAGATAAATTATTACCCACTGCATCACAAGCATGACCTCCGAGTTTCACTGGACATGCTACGAGAAGCACCCACAGGTTTCGTTGGTTGCGCCACACTAGTCGCAATACGTATTTGAGGGGTTTAATTAATAAACAATTTATACCTACATGTGAAGTGGTCGATGATGAAAATGGGGCTAAGATGCATAGTTTTATTTTCATTCTTTTGTCTCTTTTTAGAGAGAGAAAGAGGGGGAGATAGAAAGAGAGAAAGAGGAAGAAAGAGAGAAAAAGAGAAAGATAAAGAGGAAGGGAGAGAGAATGAGAGAGAGAGAGAGAGAGAGAGAGAGGAGGTTGGCAATGATGATAGATATGGCGCAGGTGATGACTATGTTGACAGAGTTAGCAGTGGCATGGTGAACAATGCTTAGAGATTGGCTTGTGTGCTATGGAAATCGTAAGCCGCATGCGCTGCTTGGGCGTGTGAGGGACACTAGGGTTTGAAATATATGAGAGGAACTGGAGGGGAGACGGAGCATGGGGAGACTAAGGCATATAGTGTGCCTAGGGGAAGAAAGAGAATAGAGAGGGCAAGAGAGGGAAGAGAGTGTGACATGAGAGAGAGAGAGGGCCTAAAGGGAGTGCATGTGAGGGAATGGGGGTCGTGCGCCTGCGTGAGGAGATGAGTGAGGGAGATGATGTGCATGTGAGTACAAAGATATGCGAGGGCAATGATGGAGTTATGGGCTGAGGGAGATTTTTTTTCATTTTCTAACTTAGGTCAATATGCCCCATGATCAGTATTGTGGAGATCTAAATCAAGCTATCAGATTTAAGTTGATCTCTTGGACATTGGTGTTGGAGATGATTCAAATCGGATGATCAAAAATATGATAGAGCCCTGAGATCAACAACAACAACAACATCAAGATGGTGTATTATTATGGACAACTGAGACTAGTCTAGAGCTCTTAATTAATCGGAGCAAATTAGCACCTTAGTGGTATAAATTTTAATGTGATGTCATTCTCATTCAATGCCCTTCACATATATAATGATTGCACTTGAAAATGATTTCATTACTTTACAATGTGATTAAGTGAACAAATTTAGTTTTATGCTGTCATATAGTTTAATTAATGATTGGTGTTGAGTTTACAAGACAATTTACTTAACTTCTCAAAAGCATTTGGAATTAGAGTTTTGAAATCATCTACTGCACAACCATCTTGATTAAATAAATTCTCATATCATGATGATTGTTAATTTTTTAGTGGCTAGTTAATGCAAAACGTATGTGCATGGTTGCAGTGCATCTTCCTTGTAAAGAAATTTCTTTTCATTTAAGATCTCTTGAGTAGTAATTCACGTTATGCTATATAGCATTTAACAGTTTATACTCTCATAATGAAATTTATGGTTAATTTATTTTAATTAAGATGGAGCTAACTACCTTGGATATCATCATACACTTGATTAATGTTTTTGTGATTAAGGACTTAGGATTAGGCTAAGATTCCCCTCCCAATAGAATGGGGAGTAGACTGAATCATTGGCCATTGATTGGTCTGATGTAACCTATTGACCCAAGTTTTTAATCCAAATTTGACCAGGTAATAATTAAAAAAAGATCTTTTACTTTCTTACACATTTATAAATATAAATAAACTCCCTTAAATATTAAAGAAAATGAATTTGTATGTAATACATATGTTATATCTGACATAATTATCAGCATGTAACTTTTTTAGTTAGGCTAACTCAGCAAGCAATAAGTGAATCGCTTATTGATCTTGCCAACCGAGCATGAAGTTCTAGGATGATCGTAGGTGCTATTATTGTGCTTACTCGTACTGTACGTGTCTTGCAATAATATAAATTCTCATATGCCATTTATGGGAATAGTCATTTATCATTTCACCAGCAGCTTTGATCAACTGTATTATCATGCCGAGAGGAGTGTGTTGTTGCACTTAGATACTTAGAGCACAATAATTTGGCAAACATGAAACGGTGCAATGATAAGCTCATTAATAGTTAAATCCAACATCTCCCTCCCTCCCTCCCTTCACTCCCCTAATCAAAGGGTAAATTTATTAGTGATTAATGAATAATTAGTTAAAAGATTACTAATTTTAAAATTTTTGTGTTTGATTGGAAGAAAAACAAATGCATTGTAAAATTTCAATGTATTTGGAATTTGCCTTGCTCAATATGGGTGAATTCAAAATGTACGACTTGTATGAAGCATGACTCTCCATCGGCTGTTGTTTTCCATTGCTGGTTGTTGCCCATCATCGCCCGATGTTAACTTTTGTTTATTGCCCATAACATAACTACAACAATCACCATTGCCCATTGCTGCCCAGCCGCCTCTACCAGCATTGGCCACTAGCCTACCCTTGTTGTTTATTGCCACCAGTCGACAACCCCACCACTATCGCCATCGAGTTTTACATTAAATTAAGTTTAGTTCAAACCAAGCCTGTCAAATCAATTCTATCTACTTATCTTATTGATGTATCTTCTATCATCATTTTACATGCTCCCATATCCCAGCCATGCAAATTTGTTTTCTTAACCTTATATTTAATAGATTTTAATCCTATCATCTGTTTGAAATTATTATTTCACTTCAAATTTCTCTCTCTTATCCATCTTAACATTCTTTTGTCCACTTCTATAGTTTATTATGTGCTTGTTTGTAAAGTTATTCACTAATGCAATTTTCATATCTTTATTTATTCAAAGTTAGTGGCCTAATCAAGAATCCTCTTACCTAATAAGTGTTTTGATGAATTGTCTGTATACTGGCCTAATTTTTAATTTATTACTAACTAAAGTTTTAAGTACCAATCAGGTGTTAAGTGCCATAAATAAGCACTTGATCCAGATGTGCTTGGTTTTCTTTTATTTTTTATTTTTTTTTAAATTTTTTTTTAGATGTGCTTGGTTTTATACGAACAAATTAAGTCCAATTAAATTTTGAGCTTCTATTATTCTGTATTGATGAAGTAATCTAATCTGACTTGACAATGGAATAGACTTCAGGTGTTCACTAGTTAGGTGTCACTTAACTTGCCCATCCAGGTCTTGAATGCCATCAACTCAACTAGGCATGTAGTAAGATATGCTTTTAACTGGCTTTAGGCTACTAAGGTGTTTGTTATGATTACTTGAGAAGAAAATAAATGAAAAAACCATTTATGCGAGGCCTAAGTTCTCTGCTTATGTTTTGAAGAGTCCAATATTTTGGTACTCCCATAATGTAGAAAGTACATGAAACTAATCCATTTCATCATTTTTAGATCGGATTTGGCGAGTCTCTAGCTTTATTCTTGCTTGAATTAAAATTTGTGTGAATAACATTACTTTTCAACCAACCATTGTTCTCCAACTTCTCATGTGCATTATACCAACTTCTCAGGAGAAATAACAGGTAAGAAGAGACAAGATTTTTCTTTCATAGTTTATTATGTAAATCATGAATATAAAAAAAAAACATTCTTTCACCTGACGGTTCAAGAGTTTGCTGAGAGAATAATATACAACGTGTTTTATTTTCGATACTTTTTAGAAATACGCTGTTGATTCAATCAAAAGAGTTTCTTGGTGGCTTCATTCATATGCTAGTTAAGTCGGCACAAACTTGACTCCAACTTGATTGTGATAGGCCGGTCCAGCAAGGACCGACAATGGTCTACCATATGCAGAACAAGGGCAGTAATGTAGCCCCCTTTGGGGTGGGGCCCAACAACAATTTAAGAAGTAATTAAGAGTGATTAGGAGGGAAAATTCAAATTAGAAGGGTTGTTTGGGTGTTTTACT